GTGCGGCCACCTTGTTTCCCGCGGTGGCTGCTTCGGTTCCTGGTTTGGGTTGATTTCCGTGAGCATGGGGAAGGATTTCTATGCTTATGGTGCTTAGTTTCTTGTGTTAGAATTAATGTAATGTGTCTCTTGGTATTCCTCTTTCATACCTATAAATATGGGAGGATTTGTAATGTTTGAAAAAAGTGAATGATAAGTTATTTTTGGAAGTTTTAACCTGCGGGTTGGCTTTGGAAATCCTGCGGGCTCTTTCCACCCTTTCTTCTCGGGCTTCTAACCTCTTTCGTCTCTCCGCAAGTGCCACTCCACCTGTATCCCTCTTCTCTAAGTGCAGCAACTTTAGGGTGTCGTCATTTTATTTGCAATAGTCGTTTGTATTGGTGTAAGTTTTCTTTTGTTTAGTTTAAATTGAAATGTAAGAGTTTGTTCTTTCCTACTTCTCGTCCTTAGTCATTTTCGTCGGTAGAAGTCCGTCGTGTCTTTTGTGATCAAGAGATATAGGGTCCCCTATATTTTTTTGATCGCATCACCATACAAGGAAACCTCCAAACTTCCGAAGACTATATTGTTGAATTGATTAATAGTGTTCAATAAGATTTATGATGAGATGCTTCTATCTATGTTATTATTAGATAGATTAATGTTTATCTCTTTTAATTAAGAAGGATTTCCAATGGGATAGATATCGCCAACTCAACAATACAAAATCAGATCCCTATTTCTCCATTCAACAATGCTTCTATTAGTCCGAACAAAGTTTTTTTCAGCCCAGGGGAATTAATAATGCATAGAAAAGACTTTTTTTTTTTTGGTTGCCAATCATGGTGTTATTGACTAAGATTAAGTTGTTTATGTGTGTGCTTCATTATCATTAAGTAAATTATTAATTTATTAGTGCTTAATGTGTCACTAATTTAATATCTTTATTTATTTAAGTGTAGTTCTGCCATTTAAAACAAGACCTGGTTTTATAAATAGTGCCAAGGGTTACATAACTCAGATGGTGATAAATTAAATATTTTTATTCAAGTTCTATAAGAGTTCAAACCCATATGGATGTTTGAAGATTTCCCTCTACTTCTATATGCTTTGAGGATTGAGTGTCCTGCCTTGGACTCGATAACTCGATGTTTTACAAAATTAAAAAATAACTTCATAATTCATTATATGTCTCTTCTCCCCTCCTTTCTCTCTCATTTGTCTCTTACATTCGTCTTTCCAATTTTGCTCTATGAGCTAAGATGGCTAACAATTCTTAATAATGATTAATCATAAAAAAAAATCCATCAAAGCTACATGTATAAACAAATTTCAATCTAATAACCTAAATTATGCTGCAATGAAAAGTAGACTGAATGCTAACAACCATGCCAAAGTAAAAGTCTCCAATCTCAAAAATATATAATAAAATGAAGTTTATGAGCAAATCAATATGTGATTTCAAAACATACAACATTATAATGGGCTCTTTCCTTCCTATCTAAACCTACATTCTACATTACTTTCTATACTTGTTGCATCATTAATCTTTTCGTTTACAAAATGATGAGTTAAACATGTACTTAGGTAAAAGCTAAATGTTTGTTATTTCCTCAACATCATCATTAGTATTATCCCAACTATTTGTAGTTGACCTAATGCATATGGATAATAGAAAATGGGAAATGCATTATAGACAAATATTTTAAACTTACACAAGTATAAACTAGTATGGTCAAAAACATGCATCAAAGCATGCTTTGAAGCAAAGAAATTCGATGCTAGGGACTTGTGCTTTCCTCTACCACAAAGTGTAAGCAAGTCGTGAAGCGCAACACTGCACGCACATCACATGCTTTGCACTTTAACATGTGGAGCTTGTATCAAGATCGCAACTTGTGAGACAAGTTAGAACTTACAAGTGGTTTATTTCACTGTCGATTCAAAGGTATTTAGAGTTCACACAAATAGATTTTAGATTTTATAATCTTAATTCATTGAAAATCGCAAGTATTGCATTTGTCTCCACACATCACATGCAACTCTCAACTCTTCAACTCCTTGTTTAAACAAATGTCATATCAAATGCAAAGCCACTCTCAATAGCCATCTTCAGGTGAATAACAGTAGACATGATATATGAATAGCAAGAAGCATAAGATGCAGGTGACCTCACATGAATATCAAGAGACTCAGAAGTTGTCACAGTATATGTCAAGTATTCTTTCTTCACTTTGCTTTTTATTGTTTTTTCATCTTTTGCATTTAAGCTAATACATAAGATAATTGAGAATTCTTATTCAACTTCTTACATTAATTCTACTTAAAAGTATGCATAAAAAATCTCAATTTAAATATTTTAAATTTGCATTTATAATATTTTTTCTTGTTAATATTTGACTTACAATGCAATAGATCATTTCAAATTATAATTTGCATAATGCTTATTGAATATTTAATATTTCATAATGCTCCATATGATATCTGCAGTTCAATTAACCGAAATATGCACTTTGTTTGAGCTTTGCGCTTCATCTTAGAAAATTCCCTTAGTGCATCACATTGTGCTTTGCTCATTAATAACCTTGGTATGAACATAAAATATTCAATGAAATTCTCAAAATTTTATTAGGCCACACACACCAGAACCTTACAAAAGGCTCACATGATTAATCTACCAACTAGGACCTCGCTAATTTAAAGACAAAATGTTAGGCAGAAGTATCCCGCCTCCACAGCAGTCCCCCCCCCCTTTTGGGGTGGGGTCTACAAGTAACAGAATAATTAGGAGGGAAATTCAAATTAGGAGGGTTATTTTGGGTATTTTGCTATTTTTGTATGCTTAAGGAGGATTGTAAACCTAGGGTTAGGTTATCTTGTATTTGCTGAAATTTGGAGAGTTCTGATGTAGGCAAGGGGGGCGTCGATTCTTGCGGAGAGAAGAAACAGATTAGAAGTTGAGACGAAGAGAAGGACAAGCTCGCAAGCTTTCCCAAGAAGGAGAGGAAGAAGTGGAACAAGCTCTCAAGCTTTTTCAAGAAAATACGCTCGGACTTTTATGTCCAAAAATCACATTATAATATACTCTTAAACCCAATTAAAAGGCCAGAAATAATCCCATAACAGCACCCGAAAAGACAGCACAGGAACCGGGTAAAAAGTTGATTTTCCTTTGTTGGGTGCTGATTCCGATCCCCTGTGTTGCCTTTTCGGTTTCTTCCCTGGCTGTTTTCCCGTGGCTGCTTTACCCGGTTCATGTGCTGTCTTTTCGGGTGCTGTTATGGGATTATTTATAGCATTTTAATTGGGTTTAAGAGAGTGTTATGGTGTTGTTTGGCTGCCCCTTTTATTCTATATATAGGAGATGTTTGTGGCTGTTTTAAAGAGTTTTTTTAGAGTGTTGTGTGCTAATTTTTGGAGTAAAAAAACCTGAGGGTGTTTTCTTCTTTGGGAATAGCTTGCAAGCTGTCTCCCATCTCTTCTCCTCTTTATAGCTTGCGAGCTATATTTCGTCTCGGCTTCTAATATCTTTCTTCTCGCCGCAAATGACCACCCCACCTGTATGTTTCTTCTCAGCAAATTCAAGCTCTTTTAGGTGCCTTTATTTTGTGTTTGTAAGTGTCAAGAGTTGTAAGGTGTTCGTTTTATTTTCATAAGTTTGTAAGAGTCGTCTTTATCTTATAAGAGTTGAAATTTTTCTAATTTTTAGCATTTTCTGTAATTTTCTATAGCCTAGGTTTGTTTTTATTTTGCTTGCAAAAATTAGATTTTTTTCAAATTTTTGCTTGCATCAAGTTCTTAGGTTTTGTTTGGGCTCTAGCCGCCGCCTAGAGATTATGAGATTCGGATCTTCCTCTCGAATTGAAGATCCATTACACCTTGTTTGTTTTCTTTCATCTACAATTCAATCAAGAGTGTTTTCTTTGTTTTTCCTCAATTAAACTCTAAAAATATGTTTGGCGAGGCAGCTGAAATTTTGATTTCAGCAATTGTTTCTGTTTATTCCAATATTTCCTATCACAAAACTCCTACATAGTAATCAAGAATGCTAGAAAACGTCATAAACTTGTCCTAGAAATAATAATAGTGCTACAATTTTCCTGATGCAAATGCTAGCTTGTCTGAATTTTCTAGCAAATGCAATCTCCATCATACCTAAAGCAAATACCTTCAGACCAAGAATATACAATCATTAAATGTGTGAACCAACAAACGCCCAATACTGCATTAAAAAATGTGTTGAATTTTTTTTTTTAAGATCAAAAATTTCTTAAATCGCTTAAGGCCTTCCTATTGCACTTTCTCTAAAGCAACAAATAGAATTACTCCATAAACATCCTGCTCACAACATGGAAGTTATCAAAATTGTGTCATTACCTACCGAGTGACCTAAGCATTAAAAAGAACGCAGAAAACAGTCCATCCTAAGCAACAACTTAAACTTGAACAGACAGTCCAAATAGCAATAATGGATCCGTTTGAAAGTTGAACCACAGGATTCTACATGGTGTGTGGCACGTGATGCCAATGCTCAACATAGCATGTGGCATTAGTCCAAAAACGGGAAAACATGGCGTGAGAGAGCACATAAGTTCCTGAATCTTGGAGGACCATTGCGACAATAAAGCACTTCTATCTATCTAGTTGCGACTTCCTAGCTTCAGAAATATTTCTAAAGGAACTTCTTGAAGCTCAAGGTTAAATGTTAAACTTTCCAAACATATCTCTCTGAAATCAAATATTAAGACAACAGAATGGAAACTTCTATAACATTGCTCGGTAGCACAAGCCTAACCATTAATTTGTACCAAATGTTAGGTATCAAAACTAATTAGATTAGATTTGATCAAAAATTGCTACCAATTGTGTCCGCGGTATCCTCCTGAGGACGAAATGTTCGCCAATTTGTCCCAATAAAACCAAATTTCGGAAAGGATTCAAGAAAGCCGGTTTAAAGAACCGATCATATCTACAGTAAATTATCCAAAAAGTTCCAATGAAAAGATAAAATCTTAGCTCACCTAAGACGAGTCCCGGACGAGAACGGATTCATGGTTAGCTTCTCACTTTACTCGATTCCCGGAATCCCGAGCTACACAGTCGGCGGCAGGAAATTGGATGACAAAACCCGGAGTCTTGGGAGTTGAGGACGAGATCCAGATAAAGGGCGGAGGAAGGGAGATATGTAAGCAAAGGGGGATCGGAGATCGGTGAGCTCTCTGCGTGTGGAGCTATGGCGGAAAAGAAGGGCTGGATCTACGAGCGGAAATGGAGCTGTTTTGTGTTTAGTTCGCTGTCTCTGCTCTCTCTCCGACTTTTTTCATTTTATTTCGAATATATATATACACCTTTAATTTTCTTATAACATTATATTATATAAAAAATAGGGTATTTACATACAGACCACTTCATTTAATGATATTGACATATCTAACACCTAAAATTTTAATATTAGTTTGATACCGCTCATATAAAATTTTAATATCAAATATATCACATATATTTCATTCTTACCACTCATTTCACCTTATATATATTTTAATATTTTATTTCATGCACCCATATTTGTTCTATAAATGATGGACATTTAATATTAAAGTTTTAGTTATTATATATGTAAATAGCATGAAATAAAGTGATATGTATGGAAGAGTTGAAGTCTCGAGACAACTGAATCCATTGAAAAAATGTCTGCAGTAGAAAGTGAACCACGTAAATCTCTCAAAATCAGCACCTCCTTTAGCAAGCAGTATCGAGACAAGTTGGTACAAATTCCAATAATACATATAAAATATGAGGTATATCTACAGCATAGCTTGATAACATAAAGTACAATAAAATTAAGCCAAGCCAATAAAAAGAATATTAAATAAAAAGCATACATACAAGACAGAGCAGAGTCTGATATCAAAACTATTCACCTTGCTTCTTACCCTTTTCCTGGCCTAAAAATAAAAAAAAAATTAGGACTAAGCTAACACGACTCAATAAGCTATCATAGCATAAAATGTAAATCAACAGCTCAAACCAAAAGAACTGAAAACACTGAATTAATAAACTTAAGTATTGTGTGAAAAGCTGAAATTAAAACTTATATTGATAATGAATTTTATTAAGCAATTAAATGACTATTAAAATTGTACTGAAGCTAACTAAAAGATAACCAAATATTTCATAGTAATTATCATAGTGACTCTCATGCCTTAATTTTTCATATATAACTATCAATAGAATTCATTCTCACCGCCAGCAAAATCTCATCTAGCAACCAACAAAATCCTTTCTCACAGACAATATATACTTTCTCACCACCAATTCAAATATTTCAATCTCGGATATTGAAAATAAAGTATATTTTACACCACTAAAATAATCACATTATTGTTGTACAAGTCTACAAAAATGCTCTAACGACTGTTAAATAATTTCCCACTAGTGTTTCATAGTTTGTCAAAACCAAGTTTTTAGAATTTCATCACATTACTGGAGAATGCATATAATTGTATTCTAAAGCTTTAAGTTAACTAAAACACTATTTTTAGATGTTAAAATAAATTTTTAAATTGATAAAAACACGGGGCAAAAAATCTCAAATAAATATTTAAAATGATCATAATATTTATGCTGATAATATATCAAAAGTTACATGAATAAAAATTAGATAAAACTAAGTTTTATTTAGACTAAATTTTAATTTTGATCAGAAAAATCCAAAAAATAATAAATTATTGAAAATTTAAATAAGCAAAATGAAACCTATCTCGACTCAATCAACTTTTCAAATTACTGTGACATTTGAAAAATGACCAAAAATAGCCCAAAATGAAGTTTCTCTCACTAAAAATCCTCTCTCTATCTCTCTCTCACTAGGTAGCTGCCTAAACAAAAATGGATCGAATAGATAGTGAATTTGGATTTTTTTAATATTAAAATTCAGGTTGGCATCAGCATTCACAACACCGGGGCTCCAAAATTCACAATTTTGAATTAATTTCCAAATTCTAGAAAGCGCGGCATCAGGGCTCTAAAAAATAACATAGCATCGGGGTGCTCCAAGGGAAAAATTCTAAATTTTACAAACATGCATTAGGGCCCTTGGAACGCACTCCAAAATATATGCATATCTTTTTCATACAAATAGATAATTCTGAAATATATGCAAGAAATTTCAAATATAGAAATTCAATATATTACCTAATTTCTAAATGAGTCAAACCAGTACAAATAGTACTCTAATCTTGTAGGTCTCACATAACGTGTCCTAAGGATGGCTACTCACTTCCGAGGATTGATGCCCTGGTCAACTCCATGGTGGGTTATCCAATCATGAGTTTCCTATACGCCTTCTCTAACTACCATCAGATGAAGATGCACCCTGAAGATTATGAAATAACTACATTTATCATAATAGAAGATTTTTATATCTACAAAGTCATACCTTTCGAATTGAAAAATGTTGAAGTGACTTACCAAAGAATGATGGATAAAGGTTTCAAAGAATAGAAGAAAGAAATATCAAAGTCTATTTGGATGACTTCCTAGTAAAAAGTTGATCTCCCCACCAACATATCAAAGACCTGCATGAAACATTCCTTACTCTCAAAAAGTAGAACATGAGGTTAAATCCTCTAAAGTGCACCTTCGGAGAAGTCGCGGGAAATTTCCTAAGGTTTTTCCTTACACCTAACATAATCAAAATCAACACCAATAAGGTACAAGTTATATTCAATATGAAGCGCCCAAAATTCCCAAGGAAGTTCTAGGACTCACTAGGTGAATAGCCGATCTCAGCCGTTTCATTTCCCAGTTGGGAGAGAAGATGTGTTCCATTCTTCAAAATCTTTAGAAATGCAAAAAAAAAAAAAAAATCTCTTATAAAGAAAATTATAAAATTGCCTTCCAACAATTTAAAGTCCTCCTCACTTCACCGTCACTTTTGCAAACACACTATAAAATGTATGTCATTATTGTTGTGGTTGTCATACACCATTGTTTCCCTCCCCCATAATTGCCCACTACCACCTATCACTGGCCATTGCTACCACCCATCAACTACAACCGATGTTGCCACCACCCACAGCTCGTCCTTGCCACTGCTCGTTGCCACCTTTTATCGGTCATCACCGTAGTTAGTCACCGCCACCTTTGCTCTCCATTGCTTATCACCTGCCACTGTAGGCCACAAACCACCTTCACCATTGAGCTTTATAATGCATTTATTTTATTTCAAATCAAATAAAAAGAAGTAATTAACTTCATTTATTTTTCACCCATCCAACCAACTTTAAATACAATGCATTCCTTTTACTATGCATTTTTTTTTAAGTAAACCAAATGGCCTCATAATGACATGTGGTCAAGCTTCATTGACATGGATCAAGCCCTATAATGCATGTATAAGTGCATGAGTTGATCTATCATTATTGATATGCTACATAGTATTTGACTACACATTTTAGGGTGACCTACATAACATTCTAGGATAGTTTATCATATATTCTTCTGTGCTCATGTGATAATGTATGTCACACACCTTTGTGACATTTCCAAAGATCATTTTAATCTACCTTATGGCATCATTGCATGCATTGAAACCTTGAGTTTATTTTGACTTGATTCCATGTGATAGTCTAGCCATGTTTTGGATAAGCTTTACTTTGACTTATCTATGCTCTATCAGTTAGATCTCTTCCCAATACAGATGTGACCTTTTAATGGTCATATCCATTATCTTAGTTGTGCTCTTTTGGTCACTAACATCTAGAAAGAAGTTGGTTATGCTCTTTTAGCCATTTTTTCCTTAATATAGTCAAGCTCTTTGGTTATATTATTTTTGGTACCATTTTGCTCTTTTGAATGGGCCTCTTAGCCAATTCATTATCTTCTCTAGTCATGCTCCTTTTCATGAAGCATACCCTTGACTTAGTTATGCTCTTTTAGCTGGGTCACTTCATCGTGTGATCATGCTCTTTTGATCATATTACTCTTGGCTTAATCTTTTTTTAAGCTAATCATGCTCTTTTAGTTGAGTTTTATCTTGGCTTATTCATTCTCTTTTGACTCATTCAATCTATTATTTAGCCATACCTTTGGTTAGATACTTTAGGCTTAATTATGCACATGAAATCAAGCCATTCATTCCTGATAACTAGATAACCTTTACTCATACTCACCATTACTCTCTTTATTTGGAGCTGCTTTTCAATGTATAAAACTTTCTATCAAAGTGTTTGCAACACATTTAATTACTTGAATCTTTTAAGCTTGATAGTTGATGTTCTTAAATATCATCTCTTTCAAAATGATTCATTTGTATATGTATAAATTACGTCAACACAAATTGGGAGCTAAGTCTACCCTTAACTTTAGGATTAGCCTATGACTATAAAAGGTTGAGTATTATTATTGAATGATTGTTCAACTAATAATAGAAATCATCATATCATACTCAAATCTCATGTGACTTGTTCAACCATACAAATAACCTAGAACATATCATATAAATCAATTTTAAAATTAAATAAACTATTTTAGACTATATGTGAGGAGGACATTCATGAAAAATCTTTGATTATTATCTTTTCAAATTTTATAAATACATATCTATTTATTTTCAAGCACTTTCAATACCATTAAATCTATTTTTAAATTTAACAAGAAAAAACAAATAACATTAATACGACGGATCTTAGTTTATTTAGATTCTTGAGATGAGCTAGCTTGGTATCCCATCACAGTCATATAAGTTGACCTCCACACTTTGAATATTGCAAACACTTAAGTACCATATTAGGGCACACCCTTAGCCCTTTAGCTTAGGGTTAGGTTGCTATGACATACAAATGTGCTTAAGTATTTATCATTTTTTTTTTTGAAAGCTCAAATCTCCAATAATCTTAGGCAAGATTGAATCGAAGCCTGCATAAAGATAAATTTGCTGGAATTAATGCCCGCCAAATTGGCTTGGACAAGTCATGCAGAAGCCAAGCATGTTAACACCGGTCAAATTGGAGCCCTAATGAAGTTGAACCAGTTCAAAATGGCTGTCGCTCTCTTCCTCTGATTGACGATGACTGTGATCACACTACAATTCATGCCTCGCTAATGCAACAACACTCACAGTTCTAATTGACAACAAGCAACATTTCATCACCTTTTATTGCTAGAAAAAAAAAGGCCCTTAGAGTTCTCATTATTTAGCTTAGCCATTATTCGATCGTATAGCCCTGCACAAATTGAGGCTTATTTTTTTATGATTCGAAAAATAATAATATATTTATTTTACTTTACATTTATTTTTCTTCCAAACGAACAACCCTTAAAGATTTATTTGAGTCAGCTTTACTCAATGCATTATTTTTCAAATCATTGTCACATTTCTATTTGGCTTGTTGCTTTCTAAATTTTTTTTATAAAATTTTTACAATGATAAGCTACTTTTTACAACTCAATTTAAGCTGTGTTTGGGACGGATTTTTTACTATTTCTTAAAACAACTTTCTAATACAAAAATTATTAAGGTCATGAAGCTATTTATAATACCCTTAGGAGCACATTTTGAAAAGTTGCAGCTTATTATGAATAAGATTGTAAAATTATTGAAGAAAAATATATATATTTTTTAATTGTTATGCCAATTCACGAGTAACAGCTCAATGGCTTGCAGAAGTAGAAAAAATATAATGCTGAATACAGCAGAGCATCAATGACTAGATAGCTGAAGAATATTTCCAGAATAATATATATATATTGGTAATAAGAGCAGTTTCTGCAGCTTCCAGTAGTCATAGAACAGACCAAAGCATTAAGGATGCTGCCTTTGGCTTTCAGTATGTGTTATGTAAAAAAACATGATTAAACTCTCCAATAAAAGTTCAATTTATTCTATAAATGAATTCTTTGTTCATTAGGTTATTAGAATTTCTTTAAAAGCTAAGCATTATAAAAGAAGAAGGAACAGAATTAGCCTCTCAGCCCAACTTCCTTACGCACCTGAAGAACCAAGTAACAAACACAGGTACGGGCAAAGATAAGGTTCTTTAGTATAGAAAAGATCATACAAATTCGCAAATGATAAGTTCATAAGAAAGGATTTTTTAAGGGTCTGTCTGAAGTCCAAACAACAGCAGGCCAATTGTTATTCTTGCATGGAAATCAGTTCAGAAGAGAGTACCTTAAGGCTGTTTATGAAAGCCACTTAAAACAAACTCCCTTGAAACTGAAAACAGACGAGAGAAACAGACAGCAGACAATGCTTCAAATAAAATTCTCCAGACAATATAGTGCTTCAGCAGAATCATTGATCGGGTGAATCGGAGCGGATGGCTAAGAAGAAATCACCAAAACTCGCATTAGCCGAATGCAAACTGAGAAGATTGATTGTTGCAAATGAACTGGTTTAAATTCAGTAAACAAAAAGGAGAAACAAGAAGATGATACATTTAGCATGATACATAAATGCAGTAAAAGCGGACGAAGAGTTAACAACATCAAGACTTTGTCTCACCACGTGGGGTCGGCTACATGAATACTTTTTCGTCATTGTGTCATGTTAAAAGTCAAAATCTCATTTAAATCTAATAAAGAAAGATATTTCTAATATTTTCTAACCAAATCTTTTTAGGTCTACCTCTACCTTTCTTAACATAAGTCAAATTTAATATCTCAACTTTCCTAACCGGGTCATTATAAGGCCTCCGTTTAATGTGACCAAACCATCTAAGTCGACTCATTGTAATCTTATCTTATTTTCTAACCAAGTTATTTTTGTTTTAAGCTTCATTAAAATCTATTTTTAATAATAGCACAATCTAATATATATCAATATTAGCATGTTTATAATGTCTTAAGACAGCTTATGCAGCAAACTCATTATGCTTTAAAAATTGTAAACCAGAGCAGTATGTTGCAATTAAGAGAGAGAGAGAGAGAGAGAGAGTGAAGAGGACATCAGATTTCGACACGTGAACGATCGCCAGAGACGCAGATCGACGGCTACGATTCAGAGCCTCTACTTCTGATTTATTTGCATTTTATTTTATGATTGTATTTCTTGTTTCCTAGTTTGCCCCTATGGGCATTGAGTCGCTTATGTAGCCCGGAAGGGCATTTGTGTCTTTTTTTTTATTTCATTTTGGCCTACTTATATGAGGCCTCATGCATTGTAATAGCTAGTTGATGATGAATGAAAATTTTATTTTGATGATTCTCTTTGTGAGTTCATGAAGCCTCTAAAGATCTCTTTGTGAGTTCGTGGAGAGGAGATCGTCGGAGATCTCTTTGTGAGTTCTACCGGTGGAGTGGTGTTCAAGGTTGGTCATTTGAAATTTCGTTGTTTTTCTCTCCAATCATTTCTTCCCCACTTAGCCGAAATTCCCCTCCTTTTCTCAATTCCCCACCACCACCCAAGCTCCACCGCCGGCCTCCCTTGGCCGGCCCAGCCACCGGCGGCCCTCCCCGCACCCAAGCCGCCAGCCGTCCCTCCCTACCGCTCCCACAACCGCCCCACATCAGCCCACCAGCCAACCTATTTTTAAAATTTGAAATCCAATGCCAAAGCCTTAATTCCTTTCCTATTTTACATCCCCTTCAATTAGGAAATTTGGCCTACTTTTATTTCTTTTCATTTAACGGGAAATTTCCAACGGCTAGAGGCTCAAGCTATTTAGGAAATCTTCCTGTAGAATAAATCTGAGAATCAAATATCAAATTTGATAATTCCGTGAGTTTCTCAAGAGAGGCCACGTCATTAATTTGATTGCTCTCATCTCTCCATGGGGCCGGCCACCTCCTCCTCTTTTCTCTCTCCAATCCCCAATTAATCACTACTTAAATACCTCATAAATACCACTCCTCTCTCACGTGATTTTCAGTTTTTTTTTTTTTTTTTTTTTTCAGATTTCAATCAAGCTCTTCCCTCTCTCTAATTAGAATTTGAAATTAAATTTCAGCTTTCTTCCCCCCACTAAATAACATCTCCTTTCCTTCTCACCTCCACCTCCCCAAGTCCGTCCACCTCCTTCCCCACTCGTGTGCACCTTCAACCCGGAGCGAGGATGCATGGCAGATCCTGAACTTGAAGGCGGACTCGTGTTTGACATCTACGGGGACATCCAAATTCTCCGTCCCCATTCTTCGACGTGGGGTTTGACCACGACGACACCGTTGACGGCTACTTGGATCGAATCCTCCCCACTCTTGTGCACGTCATCGACGGACAATTCTCAGACTACGATTGGACCATCCGTAGCCGTCCACCCGCTTCTCCAACTCCGGCTTCTTCCCCGGCGACGAGCCCTCTCGGCATCACCTGTCTACTAGTGGTATCGCTGAGTCTGCTTACGATCCTCTTCCGCTAGCCACCACTTTCAAGAGCGATTGAAGGACTTCCAGGTGAAGGATCTATATTTTAAACGTGAGGCTTTTATTTATCATTGCTAATTGCATTATTTAGATTTCTTTTGGTTATTATTTGGCAAGGCTCTTGTAATCCTCAAGTGTAATCAATTACCATGGTTTAATCTATCATGATTTTTCTTGAACTCTACTTGAGTAAGCTAGAGTTTATTGTTAACATTGCGAAGTTAGTAACCTTTTATTAATCTCTAAAGTGCAATTCTTGTTTTCGCATGTTTGCATAACATCAGAGAGAGAGAGAGAGAGAGAGAGAGAGAGAGGGGGAGGGAGGGAGGGAGGGAGGGCGAGCGAGGGAGAGGGAGAGCGAGCGAGAGAGAGGGAGAGAGAGCGAGGGAGCGAGCGAGAGAGAGAGAGCGAGGGAGCGAGAGAGAGAGAGAGAGAGAGAGAGAGAGAGAGAGAGAGCGCAGTATGTTGAAAGGAAGGTCATGTTGATGGAACTGCAAGCATCTTCTTAACTTAACTGAGCCTTCATAATTAAGGGGACATTGCTTGCATCATATACATGTTCTGATGGAAAACAAGCAAGGATCCAACTCTACTCGGTGATAGTAGGTCAATTCCCAAATGACTGGATAAGATTTCATTGCCATACAAGCAAAATACTAAGGGCATATGTAAACAACCACAGATTCAAGGCATAAATAATTAAATATGAACAAAGTATGCGCATACTGTAATGAAGAGTAGGGCAGTGGGAGAGACGGATCGGATGTTAGGAGAGAGATCTAAAATATAGCTTAAAATTTCCTATTTATAGAAATAAGGCAAACAAATTAAATCTAAATTAATCATATTGAATACTTCAAAATTAAAACTAATACTATCTAAAAGGATAATTAATTTTTATTAAAATAAAAAAATCAGATAAAATAACTAAAATAAATCATAAATCTAATTTCTTGTACTGCATTAATTTCCTTGGGCCAAGATAAAACTCTTCTCCAAAAGTTTTACACAAAAGCACCTTTTTCTACGAAGTGGCCATGTTGGAACCATGGAGAAGGGGGAAGAACTGATTCATGAACAAATTTATCGTCATCAACATATGTACTCTGATCATACAGAAAAAGATTTGGAGACTTAAAACTCGGGTGGCAACATGCATCATCAGATATAATCTTCCAAGTAGTCATTATAAAGTATTGCATAGTCACGTATCAATGGCAGCAAGGATGATTCAGGTTTTGTTTGTGACGGCTTTTTTATTGTTTTTTAAAAAAGCTTTTTAGTATAATTTTTTTAATTTTTTAACTAAAAAACTGCTTTAAGAAGCAGTAAGAAAGCCATCCCAAACGAAGCCTCAATCTATGATGTAGCAACGGCATAGCAAGCCTAGGCACAACCTGTATCTCTATAAGGAGAGGGGTTGGAAATTTTAACTGTACGGAATACAAACAAATGATAACTACCTCTTACAATAACTCTGGTACAATTTCTAACTCAAGCTAGTCTATAGGCATAACAAAATCATCAAGCTCACAATCTTGCAAAGGTTCAACCACGTTATAATGCTCAGGTTTAGGTGCATAAGGACGTGAACGTAATGGGATTCTTGGATTTGCTGGAAAGTTAAGAACTTAGGGCAGCAGGACAAACACATGTAATGAGTTCATCAAGTTTCCTTCCAATAGATATAATAGCTTTCTCCAGGAGATGCTTATAATCTATATGAAACATATGATAAAAATAATAACATTGACTCTTAGATAAATATTAATAATTTTGAAACTCTACGAGTGTGCTTTTGTGTTTTATGTATCTTTTACATAAAAGCTATGTATATTGAACAATTTAATCTCGATGGCTATATGATTATCATGATAATATATGAAATTTTGAAAAAGCTTGAGACTAGGCTCAAGCTTTAAATTCAAGAAAAAGCTCGAGACTAGATTTCAAGAAATTTATAATATAAAATTATTGTAATTATTCCTTCTTTCAATGTGATTTCAGGATAAGTTGGGGAAGATGAAAATTTGGTGTAGTCTAAAGTTTCTTGACAAAATCTTCTGCAGCTCAGTTGCTTGGATCGGTATGGATGCAATTTTGGATCACAGGAGAATGGATGTGGGCATCTACGACTGGGATGACATTTGCAGTTGAGATACAAAAGGTACACTATCAAGGAGGCGGGCAAGGAAGATGTCAAAAGCGTAGGAACTAAACTTGATGTGATAGAGGAGATGAAAGATGTAGGAGTCAGTAGACAAGATGCAAAGGTTAGGGATAATCTAAGTGTGAATTATGACGAATAATACAAAAGGTAAAATGATTAGATATCAATCAAAACATAGATCATATGCGACAGGAACAAATGAAAACATAAGAGTCATCGCAAGAGGAGTGCCGCAAATCAAACACCATATGAGGGATCCCATGAAGGAGATAAAAAGGGTTTGCAAGGATGGGGATTCAGATATAGAATGGGATAAGGCCCTGATACCAAATGATGTTGAGTAGAGCAATAGGAGAGAAATGACGTATTATGAGAGGGAAATCTGAGAATGAGAGAAGCGGGAAGACAGGAAATTCCAACTTTTATTCATCAATCAAATGTTCTAAAATATAGCCTAAGGATCCTATTTATACAAATAAAGTAATAAAATACAATATTAAAATCAAATCTAATATCATCTAATCTCATAATTCAAATTCAAACCTAAGATTACCCAAATAAATAAATAATTTTCATTTCAATTAAAATAAATCTAAAAATCTTAACTTAAATGATATAATTAAAATCAATATTTTTAAATGATATAATTAAAATCAATATTTTCAAAGTATTAAGCACAATGCAATGTGCAACGGTTCTTTTTTGCTTCAATGTGCAAAGTGCAAAGTGAAGTGGTGCTTTATGAACGAGTATCTTTTATATCATATATATATTCATTATGTGCATACAATAG